GCAGCCTCGCGGCCCGGGCAGGGGAGGGGGGGGGGGGGGAGCCGTGAGAAACGCTGAGGCAGCTGCTGCCCCCGGGCAGCCCCTGCAGATGGATGTTCCCCGGGAGGGGAAGGCCGGGCCGGGGCAGTGCTGAGGCCGCGCTCAGGCACCAGGGGGGAAAACAACCCGGCAGGCAGAGATAACCCCTCCCGTGGCCCCGGCGCTGGCCCAGTTCCCACCTGGCCTTGCTCTCACCAGGGTCTGGTCCTGCTGTGGCCATGAAGCCCGAGGATGAAGGGAACACAAGCCACTGTTCCCCAGCACTTGCTGCCACCCTCTCCCACCAGAAGGGCTCCCTGTCCCCCCCTCCCCTGGGGCCACAGCCCTTCTGGTCTAGATAAGGAGGTTGGAGGGCAGCAGATGCTGTGGCCCAGAGGGAGGCACAACTCAGGGCTGGGATGTTTGTGCCTCCCACTCCTTCCTGCCCAGCACCCTCTGCCCTGCCAGATGCTGGCATTTCTCCCATTGTAGGCTTTGCTTCTTGAAAACGTGGGGAGCAGAAACGCGTTCTGAGCCAGGGCAGGGTGCTGAGCCAGGTGCTGATGCAGAAAACACAGAGGCCCAGGGTGGACAGAAGTTTATTCTGGCTGTTCCCATACAGGGCAGAGATCTCCCCGTTCTCTACACACCAGCCCAAAGCCACCACCACACTTGGAGCTCCACAACAGCAGCAAGGCAAGGGCTTCCACCTCTCCCCATCCCTCTTCCTCGCGGCAAAGCCTGGTGATGATGGAGAGAGGGTTCCCCAGAGGTCTCCTCCACCACTGCAGGCTCCGTGGGGTAAGGCAAGAGCGTGGTGCTGTGGACAGGGTCTGCAGAGCCACACAGCTGTCAGCAGGACGACAGGTCCCAACCCCGAGTCACTCAGGTCTAACTTTCTTTTATCTTCATCCCATGGAAATAACCAAACCTCGAGATGTGGGTGGAAGGAGGCAAAGAGTGTTCCATGGCTCAGGGGCCGGGATAGCCCGAGGGCTGAGGAGTTTCAGCCACATTTCGCCTCGGCAACACAGCTCCTGCCCCCTCTGCCACGAGGGAGGGCTGGGGGTGTCTTGAGCACATCCCTGGGGTGGGCAAACCTCCCGCGGGCCCTGGGAGGGTGAAGAGCAGCAGTGGACACAGCATATTGCCCTGGTGGAAGAGGGAGGCTGGTGGAAGCTGTGCAGGTGACAGGGGAGGTGACAGGGACCCAGCCCCGGGGACAGACACTCCAGGGCCCCGCATTTGCTCACACAACTTTAATTAACTCTTTTCCGGGCGGTTCCTGTTCAGCACGGCCCGAGGGGCGAACTCCAGCTTGTCCTTCAGGCTCACCACGTCGGTCAGGTCCTTGCCCGCGATCTCCTGCAGCTTCCGCTCCTCCCGCAGCTCCGAGATGCTCTTCTCGTCCTGGGCCGCGGGCGGGGGGTCCCCGCGCAGGAACCACTCCAGGTGGTAGCCCACCA